AGAGAGAGAGAGAGAGAATTGTTAATAAAGGTAGTTTCGAGTTGTTAGGTTGTTTTGCCTCCAGGCCCGCTACAATTGTTTGAAAATCGGGTGCAAAATTGGAATATATTGGAAAATTGTGGGCCTGTTGGCTTCAAAATTGGTGAGATATTGGAAATACAGTTCTGCTAAATGGAACTAGCCACAACTGTGCATAGCAGTGCAGTATTTTACTACTAACGATCTTCCCAATGGCTAATGTTAGTTTGGGAGGAGGTCAATTAAGTCTCGATAAGTCTCGTTTTCGGCGAATTTTTCGGCTGGCCGATTCGGAGAAAGCCTAACACGAACAGTGCTTTAATTGAACTCTGAAAAGGAGCCAGAGGAAGAAATTCAATAGGAATGACTTATAAAGCAACTACCCTCGACTGTAACAAGATAATAAGCAGTCAGAATGTGCGATAACAGGGAACTGACAGGTTCTGACTGCTTAAGAGAGCATGTCTGAGAATACCAAAGTATGTGTGCAAGTGGATCTCTCCGATTTCGCTCAAAATTTGCAGGTAGGTTCCCTTTGGGGTGTGGATCGATTGTGCAAAGCCCTTGAAAATGTTTCTGAAGGGAACCTTGAAATTTTGAGACCCCTCAGAAATGGCCGAAATATCACATTATTTATGGGTCTAGAAACGAGTCACGCCACAGCGTATACGAACAAGCTATGAACAAAACTCCATCAAGCCAACATTGCCTCACCTTAGAAGAGTTCCTGGAGCAGTACCGCTTAGCCACGCTAGGATCCCAGAAGACGAGGTCCATCACCCCCTGACGCCACAAATGATCGTCTTCAAAATAGCCAATTTACAAGCGCTGGCTAAACAGCCAGCTACGTCCTCAATTGGCCAGAACTATACACCGGCAGATAGTAGAACACCTCTTCGAGCGCTGAGGACATGTCCCCCATCTTCCTTTTGGGGTTTTCTTTAAATAAACCTTTTTGAATTTTTCCACTTGACCATGCTGAAATACGGCCAAAGTCATACCTGCGCAGGAAAGCTCGCCCCTCCGCGACGTCTCCTCAACCATTTCTACTCCAACACTACTCCCAAGGCCGCAGAACAAAGTGTATTGTAGGCTCCGACAAGAAAAAGCAGCGGTGATCACTTGTCACTCCAAACGACAAGCTTCTCCTTGCGCCACCAACAATTTTTTGTGCTACTGTTGATGCAAAAGTGACTGAAGTCCTGAGCGCAGATTTTGAATTTTATTGCAAGATGCACGATGAGATCGCGTGCTCTGTGACGTAGGATGACGCTTCCTGGATCCCGACACGCGGCCATCGATCGCAAACGTGACTGGAACGCTACTCGGAACAGACTATGATGGCAGAGGTAAGATGAGCTGTATTTCCTGCTTGATCTACCATGATCTACTGAGAACCCTCCTAAACTATCATAGGAGTGTTGCAATGGCAGCAAGCCGTTGAAATATGCTCCCCGTACAGCATGGAGAGTTATTCAACTTTCACACATACCCCCTGCAATCCGAACATAGTCCAGTGGTAAAAGTCCATTGTTTTCATGTCGATGCTCGACAAAAGCTGCTAGCTCGGTCGCTTTGTGTTGACTGGCACGCGAGCAGCACTGGCTGCACGAACCTGTCGCGTGAACTGCATGAGAGATTTCTTACGTCATAAAGAATGTGATTTCATCATCATTTCACTGGTCTTCGACCTACATGGTCAGGGAAAGTCCCGGTTCGTAGGCCTACAAGTACAACATGGTCAGTGTATTCTTGAGCGCAGTAACAACACAAGTGTGATCACTTCCAGACCAACGGGCGTTCAAGGCGAGTAACAAGCGCACTTGACAAAGGTGACTCTGAAATCTCGTGAGCCGTTGGCCACGTGACTTGGCATTCTTGCGTCACAAGGCACGTGATTTCACCATGCATCTTGCAATAAAGTTCAAAAACTGCGCTCAGGCCTTCAGTCACTTTTACATCAACAGTCGCACAAAAAAATATTGGTGGCGCAAGGAGAAGCTTGTCGTTTGGAGTGACAAGTGATCACCGCTGCTTTTCCTTGTCAGAGTCCACACTACACTTTGTTCTGCGGCTGTTGTGTATCGTGTCGGAGAAAGGTCTTCTGGGGTGTCGTCGAGATCTCGTTGCGACCGTGACTCCTGCTTGTCTCCCTGGATAGGTGCTGCTTGCTTTGCTTTTTGCGTAGTGTTTTTGATTATTGTTTACTATTGCGTATTGTTAGTGTTCGTTGTGATTTGGTACAGTACTTGTTACGAGATACGACACATTGTGTAGTGTGTGTTTGCAGCACGAAGAAGACTGCACACCAGGACGGTTAGCTCAGGAGCTTGGGCTTACCTTGTGCAATCACAGTTCATCAGCTTGGACATTGCGCTTGGTCCCATGCGAATAACCGACTAGAATAGTAATTATTTCTTCGTTGCATTTTTGAATTGTGTTCTTGCTAGCTCGTTGATTTATTTAGTTGATGTGTTGATTTGTGTTTGATTACTTATTTATTTGATGCGCGATTTATGTGCGCTGATTGCGTGATGGCATGCAATTATGATCATGCTTGCGCCAGCTAGCTAGATGCCTGCGCCGCGCACTGATGTTGAATGAGTTAGCATGCGCCCCGCGCTGTTCATGCATATATGGTACATGGTGTGTAATGTTTGCCGCACACGCGTATAGGTGCCGCGCCTCGTACTGCTCATGTGCCTCGCGCCGTACTATTGCTGTCGCTTTGCCGCCAAATTTAGCTTTCCGAGCGCTGTACGCTCTTCTGTACGCTCATGCCAAAGTTGGACGCACGGTGTGGCTGGCCAACGCTTTACCCCTCATGCGTTGTTCTTTTCCTTGATGCTGTGGTTTTGTTTCTTTAGTGTTCTAGAGTTCTCTTTCCGATGTAGTTCGTATTTTTCCAGTCTCTTCTTCTCAATGTATTCTACTGTTCATTCATTATAGTCCGTAAAGAATTACGTGACCTTTTGTCTTGTGGCGTCTGTGCGATCCTGAAACTTTTGAGGTGTTAGTAGTGAACACAACATTTTGGCGACCACGCCAGGATTGTCAGGGAGACGAGGAACTGGAAGGAACTCCGGTGCGAAGGAAAACGCATCGTGAACAAATCACCGAAACGACGTCGTCTGAGCTGAAGGCGCTGAGCGAGGAAACGTCTGCGAGGAGTGGCTGGCTCGTCGGAGCTGAATGCGCTGAGGGCAGATGAAATGGATGAACATCTGCGAGGAGTGGCTGGTCCGTCGGAGTTGAATGCGCTGAGGGCAGGGACGTCCCGCGAGGTGGCTGGTGAAGACGACGACTCGGAGGTTGGTGCGACGGAAGTCGTTGGAGCTGAATGCGCTGAGGGTAGACGAAGTCGGATAAACGTCTGCGATGAGTGGCTGGTTCCTACGACAAGGACGGTGCGAAGGAAAACGCATCGTGAGCAAATAACCCCATGTGAGTGTGACGCGGAGTTTAGAAGGTGCTCCTGCTGTGATTTGTTGACTAGTTTGATTCGATTTGTTTTGAGTGGTTTGGTTTGCTCGATTTGTTTGTTAGTTCGAGTTTGGTAGTTCGGTTTGCTCGAGTTGTTGATTAGTTTGTTTTGCTCGAGTTGTTTGTTAGTTCGAGTTTGGTAGTTCGGTTTGCTCGATTTGTTTGAGTTTGATTTGTTTGTCCCTGGTCGGACGTTGCCTTTCGTTGGAGTTTTGTTGGCGTGTCGATCGTTTATCTGTTTATTTGTTGCCTCTTGTAAATGTAGTTAGCTTGATTAGTACGCTTGCGGCGTATACTCGTAGGGCACAGTGTTCGCAGTCCTCGTAGAACCCTGAAAAGGTCTTTGGTGGGGAATATGTTGTGTATCGGTAGAAAGACTTTTCATGGCTCTTTTTGTTGTGGTCCTTTCGTTTATTTTGGTTTGTTTTGCGTTCTGCTTTGACTTGTTTTGGTTGCATGTATAGTTTGTACATGATCCAAGTAACGGTTACGTCATTGTCATACGTTGTGTTTTGTTGCGCGCATGCTCGTATGCTGCCATAAATGTTAGTCTTTTTCTTCAGTTATCAGTTTACCTCGTCGTGTCCGGTCTTCTTGTGTGTCCGTCTCCGTCTTGTCAAGAAATTATGTAGAACTCTCAGTTCAGTTTCGTTGTTGTGTGTGGCGGGTCGGATGGGCAGGGAGGCTGGGCCCCTGACACCTGGACAACATGTGCGCGTGCACAAAAGCGGCCTTGGGAGTAGTGTTGGAGTAAAAATTGCTGAGGAGACGTCGCGGAGGGGCGAGCTTTCCTGCGCAGGTATGACTTTGGCCGTATTTCAGCATGGTCGAGTGGAAAAATTCAAAAAAGTTTATTTCAAGACAACCCCAAAAGGAAGATGGGGGACATGTCCTCAGCGCTAGAAGAGGTGTTCTACTATCTGCCGGTGTATAGTTCTGGCCAATTGAGGACGTAGCTGGCTGTTTAGCCAGCGCTTGTAAATTGGCTATTTTCAAGACGATCATTTGTGGCGTCAGGGGGTGATGGACCTCGTCTTCTGGGATCCTGGTGTGGCTAAGCCGTACCGCTCCAGGAACTCTTCTAAGGTGAGGCAATGTTGGCTTGATGGAGTTTTGTTCATAGCTTGTTCGTATACGCTGTGGCGTGACTCGTTTCTAGACCCATAAATAATGTGATATTTCGGCCATTTTCGAGGGGTATCAAAATTTCAAGGTTTCCTTCAGAAACATTTTCAAGAGCTTTGCACAATCGAACCACACCCCAAAGGGAACCTACCTGCAAATTTTGAGCGAAATCGGAGAGATCCACTTGCACACATACTTTGGTATTCTCAGACATGCTCTCTTAAAAATATCTTGTTACAGTCGTGGATAGTTGCTTTTTCTATTGAATATTTTAACAGTGCTTTAAAAGCATTAAACTCCACACTGGTGAACGAGATTTCAACACAGTCATAAGCGCAGTTTTCATGCAGACTCTTTATACAGTCATAACTTACCAAACTGAACGCATTTCGGCAAGTTATCCCATTCCCACGGTTCGTTATTGTGTCTAAACACAGTGGCTCTGTTCTTATTACGCCCACCTGCGCATGGAGGGGCAGTGCAGCTTTCAAACGCAGGCCACATGCATTTGAATGTTGCAGTCTCGCGTTCCAAGGTATAGTGAGTCCCGCCACGGTCATTGATAAATATTTTGTTTTTTTCTGTCAGATAGGAAGGATAAAAGGAGAAAGTGTTTGCAATGCACATATGGAAGGAGGCTCCTCTCACTGATGCAAATAATGAGCAATAGGAAGTACGGCATTTTCAACGGCCATTTTACTTGTCACTGGTATGGATAGACACGCAACCAATCCACACGATCATCTTTTTGTGACGGCAGGATTTTTCTGCAGAATTCATCAGTGACTAATTCTGCTGGATGATAAGAGAGGATGAAAGAAGCAACTCATGGTAGCAAAAAAATAGAGCTACTGAATGTGTGAAAAACAACGGCAAGGCGAGAGTCAGAAAACTGAACCAGCAGATTGGTGCGAAGAACGTTGTATTTCTCGCCTGTCGAGCGCAGCGAGATAGGCAAGAAATGACTTCTCTTGAAACATTTTCAGTTGCAAATATGGCATCTGGTTTGTTCTGTATTGTTGCTTCTTTACCAGACTTCTTCAGTCAGTTTTGTGTCTCATCTGGCTGCGATCAACTACCCTTCACTTCGTGTGTTGTCGCTGTTGCTGTCTATGTCTCTGCGTGTGCCAGTATATGTGAAGCGAGAAAGCACATTGCCAAGGTGAAGCACACAGCACACTAGGGCATGACTTTATAAAGGTGACGTCGTTTCGTCTCATATTGTAAAACCGGAAAGTTTAACCACCAAAAAGTTGAACCCTTTTGTAATTTTGGCATGATAACGTGCAGAAAGTTTAACGAAAGTTTAACGATGGCTACATGGCCACCCAGAACATGCATCGATGTACGCGCATCTTTACACAGTCATCTGAAACCGGGTTCGGGATAACGTTTCTTCAAAATAACGAGAAAAAATAGGTCTTTAAGACGTTAGACTTTGTGACTTGTTTGACTTCCCGGTTTTACGTTATACAATCGTTGAAAACATTTGACCCGCGCTTCTTCTTTATCAGTTGCTGTTGGCTTGTTTGGCACAAGGGATGTCATGCAACACTGGGAAATGTTTCTCTCACCAATCTATTTGGCTTCCAAAGTCATTTGGATGAATCCGATCACTCGCAATAGTATCATCCAGATAGGGTATTTTTATGCGCCCGTGACCCCCTTTGTTCCCATATGGGAACATACCACTAACCCAGCTCTCCTTGGTCTGTGAGTGATATTTCGCGAGTTAGCATCGCACGCCCCCGTCGCAGATCACATTGCAACGATCATCGCATCACAGAAAAGCGTCTGTGAATCCCGCTTAGCTCTGGCATGTGTGGACATGGTGTGGGGTGCTCAGACAATTTTGGCAAGTACGCATGATGTGACCTGTCTAGCCACATAGCCTGCACGTGCATGCCTGGCTATCAAACATAGCTGCCTCGTTTTAGTTCAAACGTGGTGAAGAATGCTCCGGTTGATGTGTGGGTGTTATTTGGATTTTCGATTTTTCCCTGTTTTTGTTCGTTGTGAAACCTGCCCAATATTCACCCGGATTAAACAGCAAAGGAGAAGAATGACAGGACACGCTCTGAGAATGTCCTCCGACACGCCCGCCCGCAAAGCCTTGAACATCTACTTCACCCATGACTCCCAAGCCTGTCCAGGGCGCCTGAGAAAGACGTTGGCAACCAGCCTTGCGGAGGACATGAGACAGGCCAGAATGACTTTCACCACAGTTCGGGAACTCGACCTGGCGACTGAGCGGGCAAGGGACAGACCGGCAAGGAGAGCGATGGTCTGCAACTAATGATACTGAACTAGAGTGACGGAAAGATTCATCAAGACACAGCAGCGGAGCGAACATTAGTGTTGCGCAATTTTAATGTTCTATTAGGCCACACTTTGTTTTTTTCTATGTTTCTCGTCGGCAAATTTAAACAAAAGGAATGCGGGCAGGCGAAAAAAAGAAGAAAAAAAAGAACAATTTCTACTAGGGGTGAAAGTTGGCATTGAGATCCCGAGTTCGAGTGCTCTGATTTTCTCCGATCGAATATTCGAGTATTCTTCATCTCCTATAAATTGCACACCGAGGGCCTTAAAGTCACATGATACAATCCTGCTTGAACCGAGTGGCTGCCATTTTTCTCTGGCATAGTGGTTGGTGGGTCATTTGGGCTCTCTCTACTCATGAACAAATGTTCACCACACAGTCTGCACATCAATATCTGCCGACTGCTGCTCTGAAACTGCAGATTTCTGTGGTAAATGCATGTACCACGTATGAACGAGTACTCTGATTTATTCCGAGTACGATTATTTCTGAAAAAAACCGAGCGAGTACTCGAGTATTCGGTGTAATTGTTTCACCCCTAATTTCTACTGAAAACTGTATACAATTTGTATGTGTGATTCATACAAGACACTGCGTATACAGTACTACACAGTAATACACAGCAATTTTTGGTGTTGAGTTCTAATCATTCGCCATGCCACTGTCAATTGCATTCTGTTTGCCTGTGAAAGAGGCCTTATCATTCCAGTATTACATATACATTGTACAATTATGTGCAAGTAGTCCCATAGACTATGTACATGATTGCACTACATTATCACATCAGCCCACGAATATCAGGCAAACTGCAACATTGAGAGTATAAGTTTGATTACGAGATGGCGAAGAGGACAATCAAACATTTTATCTGCTATCGCATCAACAAACGCTTTCCCACTCGTCAAGTTTGGTTTGTTACTTCAACGTTCTTGTGTCCGCTTATCAAACTCTTGTCTCCACGCTGCTCATCTTTTCCTCGCCATGCGTCTATTGCTTGGATTTTCTGCCCACGACATTGTTCCACAGACGCCAGTTGCCGCGGAACTCTTCCGACTTACGGTATTCCTGCGACCCGCGAGGCTCAGGCAGTGAACGACTGAAAGCTTCGTTACGGCAGCCTTTCTCGCAGAGAATGTATGGGGAGCGCCCCTTTGCTGCTGTTGTGCAAACGTTTACGATTTTGATTGACGCATCTAGCTACTGCAGCATGTGCAGCATACAGGTATGCACTTTTTTCTTCTTCCAAAATTTCTGAAAACCTACGCGGTCGGGGACGAGAAACATAGACAAACAAAGTGTGGCCTTACGCGCAACTGTGTTCTGTGTTCAACTGTGTTCTGTTAGCCAGTTAGTTGTAGAACTTCAGTACCGGTGGTCAGTGTCGTGCATTGTTATAGCATGAGCTGGTTGTTCAGTAACTGGTGGTGATAGTGGACATTATAGCGTAACTTGTAGTTCCTTGGTCCTTTCTCTTTGTATAAACTGTGTTCTTCTTCTTCTTATTATTATTACTTCTGGATACTATATACAGTCAGAAAGTGCAATAACTAGGCACAAAACTGACAAGAGTACTGAGACATTCGAGATCCTGACACCTAGGTTCAACACATCTCCGTAGCGCTAACCGACAGCCTTCCAACTTGGAAGGTTCAAGGTTATGGAAAGACCAAAGAGGGGAAGGCAAGCGCAACGAAAACGAGCAAAACCTACAGTCCCAACGGAACAAAGAATGTCGATTGTTACTGGACGATGACAAGACCAGTACGATATATGGCCCGTGATCTGCTAAAACCACCCTTTGGTGCTGTGTAATTTTTCGGAGAAAATGATGAAAACGTCAGCACATCTCGATCTTCTCATCATCGCAGGTGACAGTCATGGCGGAAGGAGGACGAAGGCGCTCGTTCGCACAAATTGTTGTCGGATTCTCGGCAGCGGAGTCGTCAGCACTGCCAAATGACGATAGATCGTTCTTCGGGTGGTCAGATGAAGATTCTGACGACCAGAGCGATGACGAATCGACCGACGCCTCTCCGCTCGTGACCCTGCCGATTGCGCTTGCGATCGATGCGGAGGAGAATTTGGACGAGGCGCCAGCGCTACAGCCAGCACAAGCCCTCGCCGCCGGAGGACAGGGCCAACCTAAGAAATCCCGTGCTCAGGCGGCGCCCAGTACTGTTGAAGAGGTACAGGCGCGAGTGGACAAGGGCTGCTGTTGTGCCGATGTCAACTGTTTCAAGAACGTGTCACCGGATACTCTACTCACTGCACGCAACACAGCGCTCGCAATGTCGAACGAGGAGCTGTTCTGTTACGTCGCTGGAAAGCTCAATGTGTTGAGACGACGCGGTGCAGTTACTTCTCACCATGGAAGCATCGCACAACGGATGCAGCGCGGAGAAAGGTCCGGTCCACTTATCGCTATGAAGTGGATGGTGACGGAGTGTGCCAGACTGTTTTCATGTACGCACATTATGTAAAGGAGTGGAAGCTAAAACAAATTAAGGCGGATGTCTATGAGTATGAGCATGCTGTCACTCCCCCTCAGTACGCATGTGAGGGTACTTTGCCCTGGAATGCACTGCCTGCAACTTTGGTGACATCAATGGACTTCCCCAGCCTGCTGCCCCCAGAGGACTGAGCTCTCCAACTTACCTGCCAGTGCCATGTGCTACTACCAAGAAGCATGTGCATACTGAGTATATCAAGGCAAGGATTTTCGTATCTAGCTCTCCTCATGCATTCTGTTTCTCCCTGGTGGTTTTCCCTGTAGTTTTCCCTGAGCAGTGTTTATGCTAAGTACTATTTTCCCTTCTCCCTTTTCACTTCCCTTTCGTCTCATCCACCCTTCCAGGAAACTCCCCCGATAAGTATCCGTTTACTTTTAAAGAATCCTTCAAATAAAGTCTGAATGTAAAAATGTAAAAAAATGTAAAAATGTAAGGTAATGTTGGTTTAATGGACATGTGTTCATGCCTTGGTCGTATACACTGTGGTGTGATTCGATTGTAGACCCATGGATAATGGGATTTTTGGCCATTTTCGAGGGTATGCAAGTTTCAAGGTTCCTTCAGAAACCTTTTCAAGGTCATTGCACATTCGATCTACACCCCAAGGGGAACCTACCTGCAAATTGTTGTGCGATGTCTCAGTGATCGACTTGCACACCTACATTGGCATTCTCAGACACACACTCTTAGTACGCAACTGTTTCCCTGAGAAATGGTCGTGCTTGCCTGAAACTCCCAAGTCGTCGTTATCCCTGCCCCAGCCCCCCCCCCCCCCCACCCCATTCCCTGCTCTTTAGAAAACATACCCAGGCAAGAACTTACTAAGATCATAGCAACGACCATAGTTGATGCGCTTGTCTTCTTTACACACTGGCCACCGCTTCTGGTCATCCTGTACAGTTGCACAGTGCTTATCATGATGTGGATCGCATTCCCATAATTGTCCGTCTGGGCATCGGACATGTCCGTCCTTGAAGGTTCTCTCCCATCCATCCACCGTTTTGAGGGGTTTGCACTCTGAAGACAGCAGAAAGGATGACCAAAATAGGAAAAAAAGCGACCAATGATTTGTGGATTTTCGTGGATTCGTGGATTTACATAATCTAGCTGTATCGGGGCAGCCAATAAGAATGAATTAAAACATGTGAATAGGTGGACGAGCTGCTGCATTCTCACCTTCCTTGCCATATGATTCAAACTATCTAACTGGTTGTTTTAGTGATTCTTACTATGTGACGATGTTCTGGATATTTTTTCATTTAAAAAATTGTTTTATACATGGTTATGAGTGCACAATACCTGCTATTCAATGTTGGGTTAGCTTTTGGGCTAACCCTAGTTAGCGATAAGACCGATGCGCTGCTCTCTATCGCATGCTAGCTGCGACTGACCTAGCTTTACACGTGCACTCAGCTGCTGCGCATGCGTGCCCAAATCGCCTTGGATAGCTCTTGCTGCGCTGACTTTGGCTTGCGCTTTCCTTTGCAGTGTCACTGAGCAGCAACCGGAATTTGTTTGAGGAGAATAGAATTAATTATTCAGACTCCATGTAGCCTCCTCGCAGCCGTTTACTGCACGACAAACATGTTGTCTACCTCTGAAGCACGTAGTATGAACGTGTCGGACTTGTGGGCCGAGCTGGAAGGCCGTGGGCTGAATTCGAGCGGAACAAAGCACCAGCTTCTTGCCCGTTTGCTGCTCAGTATCCAGGACACGTCGAGCTCGGCGGCACGGGAACCTCGATCCCCGTCGGCCACGCCATCCCTGTGGCAGGAGCAGGAGCAAGACCAGGATCTGGAGAGTGTTGCAGCAGCTTCTCCGACTCCCCAGATCCCGGACAGGAGCAGGAATGACGATTTGCGACACTTTGTGCGGCAGGAAGTACATTCCGCCATCACCGTTGCCTTGTCGGAGGCGATCGCTCCAATGCTGGCCACCGGCACCATCACTGCCCCTGGATCCGCTGGAACTCTTCCAACGCTGGTAATCTCTCCGTTCCCCAGACTATACGAGAGAAAATATTGAAGGGTGACTTTGTAGATTTCACCCAGCTGCTGCCCGACACTAGCGCCACCTCGTATTCTGCCCCACGCCAGCTTCAGCTGCAGTTCAGCAGTGGCGGCCAGTCTCTGGAGGTGGTGGAAGGTGGAGCTGCCCAGCCCGTTCGTCGACGTGTCCACGACTTGCCGACATGGCTGGATGCATGGACTCTCTTCATGAACGTCGTGTGTTCTGCCAACCCGTCCCGCCTGCAGGAGATGCTCTCATACCAAGCCACCATTGTTGCAGCCAACAGGCAATACTATCCGGAGGCTTGGCTGTCGTACGACACCCAGTTTCGCTCTGCCATTTCTGCTCAGCCAGGCAAGCGCTTTGACGTCATCGACATCAATCTGTGGCAAATGTCCGTGACTAGCCGATCAAGGCCCACATGTGAGTCCTGCCACCTCGTCCATCCCGGAGGCGGCCAGTGTCCCTTTCGCCCGCAACGTAACAACCAGCAAGCCTTCAATGGAGTCCGTACGGTGTCTAATGGCCAACCGATCTGTCGGAACTTCAACGCTGGGCGTTGCAGTCTCAGCACGTGCAAGTACGCCCATGTCTGCAACCGCTGCGGGTCCAAGGACCACAACGGGTCTAAGTGCGGTAGGCGCCAGTAACTCTGCTGCTTTGGCTGCAGTTCTACTGATTTCACAAGCGCATGTCCTGCTGTCCACACACCCCTCTCTGTTCTCACTTTGAATCACTGCTCCGTAACCACCCTGACAGTTCATTGGCTTCGTATGTTATTAACGGCCTCCGCTGCGGCTTTAACATTGGCTTTACCGGCAACCGCATAACTAACCAGCACTCGTCCAACCTCTCATCAGCATTCCAGCACTCTGCATTTGTGTCTGCACAGCTCACCGCTTCCTGCAACGCCGGCTACACGGCTGGCCCATTTGACACGCCCCATTCCCATTTATATACTGCTCTGGCATCGGCGCCGTTCCGAAAAAGAATGGCAAGCTACGCTTGATACACCACCTGTCTAGCCCTGCCGGCTCCAGCGTTAACGACGGGATCCCTGCCGAGCCTTTCTCTTTGCAGTACATCAGCATTGATGAAGCCATTAATATCATTATGTCCTCCCCGTCTCCTGTCTATCTCTCTAAACTCGATGTGAAGAGCGCTTTCCGTCAAATACCTGTCCGCCCACAGGATTGGCATCTCCTCGGCATCCTGTGGCAGGGGGAAGTACTACTACGACCGTGTCTTGCCATTTGGGCTCCGCTCTAGCCCGGCGGTTTTTGATGCCGTGGCAGCCACCATCGAATGGATAATGCACCACGAATTCTCCATCCTTAATTTGCTGCATTTCCTGGACGACTACTTGTGAGTGAGCGTGGGCCACGCAGTGGCGAATCGGCAGCTGGCCATTCTTCTCCGTGCATTCTCATACCTCGGAGTCCCGCTCGCGCCTGCGAAGGTGGAAGGCCCGTCTCGAACCCTGACATTCCTGGGCATTATCCTGGATTGTGAGAAGATGGAAGCCCGGCTCCCGGACGACAAATTGGCTGACATCAAGCGCCTGTTGACTGCAGCGGGCATCAACCCCACCCTGTCTCAGCGCGAACTCGAATCTCTTCTGGGGAAACTCTCCTTCGCTGCAAGAGTCATCGTACCCAGCCGGACGTTTATGCGGCGCCTGTGGTCTATTTGCAGTCGCTACCAGCAGCCTCACTACCGCATCAGTCTGACTACCGAGTGCCAGGAAGACATCCAATGGTGGCTACGGCTCCTGGAACAATGGAACGGAAAGTCATTCTTCCTGTTCCCAGATTGGACACCATCTCCAGACTTGGAGCTGTTCACTGATGCTAGTGGCACCCTGGGCTGGGGCGCATTCAACAGTGGCCGCTGGCTTCAAGGGACCTGGTCTCCTGAGCAACTCGCTCACAGCATTGAGTGGAAGGAGCTCTACGCGTTGGTCACAGCGTGCTGCACATGGGGCAAGGAATGGCGCCAGCTTCGTATCACAATGCACTGTGACAACAAAGCTGTGGTAGATTGCATCCGCTCCGGCACATCCAAGTCACCGCCAGTGATGACCCTGATCAGGGAGCTGTTCTTTGTGTGCGCGCGCTTCAATTTCACCGCCACTGCTGCTCACATTGCTGGCCAGTCTAACTGCATTGCCGATTCGCTGTCTCGTTTCCGCATGGAGGAATTCCGGCGTCTCGCCCCAGCTGCTCAAGCACAACCAGAAGGAGCAGTGCTGCCATTCCAGTCGATGTAATAGCCTTGACATACAGGTACCGATTGTCATTGCTAAATTGCCGTATTGAGAACCTGCGTTGGATTTCATCCATCTGCATGCCTACCTTTATCCATCTCGTGCCTTGATCACTTGTTCTTAGCTCTCGTGCATTGGTGGTGAACGCTTGCTGGGGTGCCGTGTGCTGGTTTTCTGGGAACAGCTTCCTTCAACTGGTTGCTTTGCTGCTACTATCTCTGCTTAAAATTGCATACTATTGGTCGGCTGTTTGCGACGCCAATCAGTAGTCGTTGCACCCGGTTGTGGGTACTGCTGCGGCTCAGTCGTGAGCGATCACTTTGGCTGTTTGCAACGCCAATCGCTTCACCAGTTGATCGAAACCAGCACACTGGTGTACCCCAATCATCCTTGTGCGGTGTTGTGAGAATACGTGGGTATGCATGCAGCTTTGCTCTGTGACTTTCCATTGCATGTGGTCACTTGGCTCTCCCATTTCCTATACACTGCTCTGATGCATTCGGGTGCAAGCGCTAAATGTTGGGTTAGCTTTTGGGCTAACCCTAGTTAGCGATAAGACCGATGCGCTGCTCTCTATCGCATGCTAGCTGCGACTGACCTAGCTTTACACGTGCACTCAACTGCTGCGCATGCGTGCCCAAATCGCCTTGGGTAGCTCTTGCTGCGCTGACTTTGGCTTGCGCTTTCCTTTGCAGTGTCACTGAGCAGCAACCGGAATTTGTTTGCCACCCACCCTCCCATTCCCACATTATATAGGGGGGAACAGCTTCTTTCAACTGGTTGCTTTGCTGCTACTATCTCTGCTTAAAATTGCATACTATTGGTCGGCTGTTTGCGACGCCAATCAGTAGTCATTGCACCCGGTCGCGGGTACTATTGCCGCTCAAGCATGAGCGATTGCTTTGGCCGTTTGCAACGCCAACTGCTTCACCCTGGTTGGCTGTTTGTAACGTCGATCAGGGAACTTTGCACCCGGTCGCGGGTACTGCCGCGGCTCAGTCGTGAGCGATCACTTTGGCTGTTTGCAACGCCAATCGCTTCACCAGTTGATCGAAACCAGCACACTGGTGTACCCCAATCATCCTTGTGCGGTGTTGTGAGAATACGTGGGTATGCATGCAGCTTTGCTCTGTGACTTTCCATTGCATGTGGTCACTTGGCTCTCCCATTTCCTATACACTGCTCTGATGCATTCGGGTGCAAGCGCTAATTGCTATTTTACGACTGTTGTCTGCACGGTTGTTGTTGAAATACATGTGGTAACATGCATGTTTTAGATAGATGTGAGTCTGTTCGCTCCCTTATCCGAACATTCTCCTCCTCCGAACGCCCAATCAGACAGCCCCTGCTCAGAGGGGAAGGCATCACCGGCACTCTACTGTACATACAGCCGTGAGGTCTGCATTCAATCCGTCACTCCATAATGTAAATAACTATGCACTCCTGCCCGTAGTAAAGGAAAATGGTGCATCGTCTTCAATCTTCTACAGCAAAATGAAGGTGGGGAAAGTGACAAGGTTGCATTCAAGATTTTACTATTATAATTGTTGCAATACTATAATTGCAACTCACGATAACTGCAGCCTTCAGGCCAGCATGCAATCCGTCCCTACAAAATGCATGTACAGTCAACGTTGCGAATAACGACACTCGGCGGGCCATCAGGAAAGTGTACTTAATTGCGAAGTGTCCTTATTCGCGAAGTGCCCTTACACCTAAAATCCATTCGAATGTATGTGCGCCCATGGTTTGTATTGTGTGATATGCATCAACGAAGCTCTTTTCATGCTCAATGCGTAGCCTATTTTCACATTGCAATTGGGAGGCACTATAATTATGGTCTAAGTGCAACGGAATTAAATTGAAAAATAAACCTTTTCGAGCTATCTATAGCAACGTCTACAATGTACAACTATGATGATTACTGTGCAATCGTGTGCAACTACATGTACATATACATGTAGTTGTGCTGATCGCTCCAACTATCTGGAAACAGAATAAGAAAAAGAAAAAGAAACGCCCCCCCCCCCCCCCCCCCCCGCGCACTTGGCTGCATCTTCTTGCATGTCTTCTCTTATCCATCACCATGGGTTCTGGTACTCCTATACGACCAGATTGTGCAGCTCAAATGGGTTGCTGTCACGGCGGACTCGAAATAGCTGTCAAAAGCCCAGAAAATCTTTACTCAAGCAGTGTATTTGGCAGGGGGGGGGGCAATAAATTCATCTGGCTAATCCCGAATTGTCTTTATTCAGATAGTCGTTATATCCTAAGTTAAATGTATACAGTTAGATGGGACTTTTCTCTGGGCTGGGATATCCTGTCATTATTCGCAAATTGTCGTTATATCCGCAGTCGTCTTCAGCCAAGTTAGCTTTAACTACGAGCTCCTGTGTGTAGTAGATCAAGAGATTCATGGATGTCCCTCGGATTGCATATTTTACCATCCAGGAGAATGAAAGAGGAGTCATCAGTCTGAGAAAGAAAAGAAAGACATGTGTGACCATAATCGTCGGGAATCGAACCCGCAACCTCTCGATTGGAAGTCGCTGCACATACCACTGCACCATATGGGATACACACACTCAGACTCAGACATGCCCATCGCGGAAGTGATGATAGCGAACAGCTATATTAGACATAGGCAATTGGTGTGCTTCACTGTCCTGCTGATCGTAGTAATCAGTGAAACTCATAGTTGTAACAAAGCTTCCAATCTCTCTCTTGTGTATGTTAGACATAGCAACTTGTGCTGGTATTACCCATTCAAGAGCTTGCAAGGCTGATGAAATGACTGCCACTAATTTTGGGCTCGTATCCACCTCACAAATGTTTGAAGTGGCTTTTTTTCTGGACAGTGAATCCCTATTTTTCATGTTCATTTTTTCATTCCTTTTTTGACGCACACACACGCCACACCACATACTCCGACATACAATGGCTGTTGGTAACCACCCAGGAGAATGAAAGAAGAGTTAGGAGAATGAGAAAGAGAAGAAAGTTGTGTGCGACCATAATCGTCGGGAATTGAACCCGCAACCTCTCGATTGGACATACCACTGCACCATATGGAATACACACACACACACACACACACACACACACACACACACACACACACACACACAAACACACACACGCAGACTTACGTTTAAAGCCATACCAGTATCCGTCTTCTCTTACTTTATTGAGTAATGTTTTATTGAGTAATGTTTCTCCAAGTACACCAACATACTCTAAAAAAAGTTACACAAAGGCACACAATGAAAACCTTGGCAAATTAATTCCGTTGTGACTCAGAGTTTGATGGCTGAACCAAAAAAGAAAAGAAAAAAAGTTAATAACACAATAACACACAAGCAGATCCTGCTGAAGTAACCATGGTTTATTCAAGGTGCGGTGTTTTGCCAAGCAGAGTTCAAACAAAATAAGCAAATTACTCAACTTGTTCACCGAATGCAGGCTACTGCCACCGAATGAAGGAAATGGGTCATTTTCACTGAAAACATACCTCTGTAGCGGGCCGCAGTCTCTCTTGGAGGCAAATGCACACGAGTCTCAGTGAACACACTGTAACTGGCAATTGAAATGTAACTATAACTGGCAATGAAATTAACTGGCAACTAAATTAACTGACTGGCAATAAAAGAATCGTGAGCAGCAGCTTTAATACAAAGGCAGACTCCGTACGCTAATGTACGGGGATATGCTAACGTATGGGGATACAGTACGGGGATATGCTAACGTACGGGAATACAGTAACATACGGGGATATGCTAACGTACGGGGATACGCTACCGTACGGGGCTACGGTAACGTACGGAATATGCTATACGCTACACATCTACTTCCTCCGGAAACAAAAACTTCGTGGCTTTTTTCACTACTTTTTTCGCTCTTTCTCCCTGGTTCTGTAAGCCTGAAACACTGACATGACATTTCGGAATCGTAGGAAAGCATGATTCACATTCTGGAGAGCCGACAGTCGTCGCAGAGCAAGGGTATCGACACTACAAACAAAGCAAAGCGAACATGTTTTTCATTTTTGTCCACCAGGCGCAATGGGAAGAAAAGCACTGCGCTCACTGCTCGTCGTAGCTATTTTTTAGTTCCGAACTTGACAGCAGGACAATGGCACCCAGGAGCAAGAAGAGTGGAAAATGAATAACAATAGCAGCTAGCATTTTGACATCTTCGCCATCCCCGAAACGCCTGTCGCATGCAAACAGGTCGGCAAGATGTCAAAACTCCAAAACTCAGAGATGTGACAATCGCCACTTCGCGTCGCATGATTCACATTCTGGAGAGCCGACAGTCGTCGCAGAGCAAGGGTATCGACACTACAAACAAAGCAAAGCGAACATGTTTTTCATTTTTGTCCACCAGGCGCAATGGGAAGAAAAGCACTGCGCTCACTGCTCGTCGTAGCTATTTTTTAGTTCCGAACTTGACAGCAGGACAATGGCACCCAGGAGCAAGAAGAGTGGAAAATGAATAACAATAGCAGCTAGCATTTTGACATCTTCGCCATCCCCGAAACGCCTGCCGCATGCAAACAGGTCGGCAAGATGTCAAAACTCCAAAACTCAGAGATGTGACAAGTTCAAAATAGAAGTCGTTCAGCCACTGCAGAGCTCAGACCTCAACGTGGACGATTTCACCTTTTCCAGCAGCCTCGACAATGTGTTCTTGGTCGCAAAGGAGAACAGGCCAGAGCTGATCGCGGCAGTCAGGAAACACTGGTACGACTATGATATCCCTCGGAGGAAATTTGATATATTATTTGGCTTTGCCTGTGTTTGTTATTCTGGGGCATCATGGAGCGAGAGCGGAGGCGCTAATGAGTGCCAGCGCTGCAGCGCTACTGTGGTCTCCGCCGGGATGTTGGAGAAGGCATTCAGGTAACAGCGAAGACGATCAGGGACGCGGAGAAGCTTCTCCACCATCATACCACATCGCGTCGATCAACCTGCCACTTGGAATGGTTTCAGCGGTGATGAGTCAGGCGATGGCGACCCGGACGGAGACTCTACTCCCACTAATCCATCCTGTAGGTATTGTGGATATGTCTATTGAATGTGTTGAAGTGTTTCTCTTCCAAAAGAACACTTCTTGAACTCCTTGAAAAGTCATGTAAAAAAGTCACGAAGTTTTTGTTTCCGGAGGAAGTGCAAATTTCATAACTCTGGCAAAAATGACCGAATTTACTAAATCTAGACCATCCTGGAAAGCTGCTGCAATGAGAAAAACAGTGGACAAGGACAATGGATGAAATACAGCAGAGAGGCACTAACACAAGTGAAAACTTTCAAAATGTTCAAGAGCTTGAAGTATGTCCTGCTTCATTACATTCTAGTCTCCAAGAGTATTGTTATCCTGATTTTATGTGACATTTTTAACACCTTTCTATTACATTGGTTGGGATTGATTGTTATTGGTTGTAATCCAAGCTCGGACGTATTCTGAATTTTGGACCAATTAACTCTACATAGGGGAGCCCATTGGCTGGACTCTATGCAAAGAGTTATGTCCACCTAAACTTTGAACTTACAGTTGATTACTAGTTGGGACTGTGTATAGTGGATTTTGAACCAATGGGCTCTATATAGGGGATGGACATCATAGAGGGTCTGGACGCTCTACTGAGTCCAACATATACAAATGAAAATACAAAAACGGCAATTTTGAACTCGGATGGTGAGCCAATTAAATTATGGTGAAAAAGGGGTAGGACAAAGTGTTACGAGTTATGACAAACCGTAACTGTCCACCAACAAAACCTGATCTTGTACATTCAGCGGGTGCGACAAAATGGCACAAACCTGACTCTGACTGTACATGTATAAGATCTGATTACGTTGGTGGACAGTTAGTCACAACTCGAAACATTTCGTCCTACTCCTTTTCCCCAAAAAAGACAATTTGCAGGAATTTCCTCCGACGTTTGGAGCAGATTCCTAAATTTTGCCTTTTTTCGGCCGAGTTTTTAAACGATTCTTTACAACTCACTGTAACACCCGGCTGTATTCTGCCACATTCCCTTATAAGGATAGCCGGGGATGTTCTCCTGCAAGGATTTTCTGTAGCCCTGCTTGCATGTCACGTGACCTTCTTCGTCAATGTAGTCCAAGCCCTCGTACTTGTGAATTCCCCGGCTGGACATCGAACCGGCTTGAAAACGGGCTCCTGAAGTACAGAAAGGCAAACGTACTAATCAATGGATCAGTGTCAGGATCAGTACTAAGCATCGAAGACAAGATAACAGAAAGTAGTGAACGCACTTGACGAGAAATGCATTACAGTCGTCCCTCTCTAATTCGGCACTTGTTTATCCAGCACCCTTGCAAACCAGCACACTTTCTGGCGAAACGGATTTTTTCAGTTCATTTTCTAGGCTTTAATTCGGCACTTGAATTCCGCCTCCAGCAGCGATTTTCTGCAACAAATCACTCAAACTGTACATAATTTGATTTTCTAATCCAGCAGTCGTACATCGCATACCGTCAGGGAGCATTGTAACATACACAACACATGTAACATACACTTGGGAATACACTATGCCAGTGCACCGGATATTCCCAAGTGTATGTTAAAGACATGCATTCCACAAAGTACTTGGATTGACACAGAAAATCCCTACGTTTTGACGTACAACACCAACATGTATGTTAACAGGTGGGCAGGGTTGGAGGGCAGGATTTGATAATCCAGCACCCTTGTTAATCCAGCAGAAAATGCCGTTGCAAAAAGTGCCGGATTAGAGAGGGACGACTGTATGAGCAGTGGAATTGATTGTTTGGTAGCCATTGAATACTGATAGCCACACACCACACTGTCCTAGGTGCAGAATTCTTTACACGGTCCCAAAGTTCTTCATATTTTAGTATGTGGAGATATTATCAGAGTAGGTACCTAACTGATACATGAAGTGACATGAACTATTCATTTTCATTGACATGCTACTCTCACACACTGACCTCTCTCTTTCTCTCTCCCTCTCTTTCTTTCTCTCTCTTTCTCCTTCTCTCAGTCTCTGTCTCTTTCTCTCTGTCTCTCTCTGTCTCTCTGTGTGTCTCTCTCTCACCCTTTCTCTCTCTGTCTCTCTCTTTCTCTCTGTCTCTCTTAATAGAGCAGCTGTCTGTTGATAAAAGCCTAGTTCACATTCGACGGAATGCTGACGGCACGGGACGTAAGGGCCTGTTGGGAAGACTGGGGGAGCTGTAAAATCGTGTACGATTTGTACGACACGACATACTGCAGTCTTTGCGTCGTTCAACAGTGAACGGCGTCAGTCATAAAGCAAGGTCCGTGACAGGGACACTTTTGGACCTATTTTCTTGCTTTTAGGACTTCTTTTCAATTATTTCTTCTTGAGAGAAGCGGAATCAAGTTCACAAAACCATTTTTTCATGAACAGCAAAAAAGGTAGCTTCGAAAGGTGTGCCATTCAAATAATAGCTCCAGGAAATGAGAAAAACTGTTCGTCTGTCACGCTCCTGAACTATCCCTAAATACCATAAATTACATCAGACATTATCTTGCTAAAATTCAAGTCAAGTCATGTTAGCCATTCTGCGAGTTATCATGGGAAGCGCCGTGTTCGAAATGCAAAAAAATTCCAAGTACGAATCGGGAGTAGTCGGCGCACGACGCCGTCTCCTGTTCACATTCAAAATGCAGCTGTTTTGTACGTTTGCATCCCCGTCTACGCCCGTCTATGGTATGACAAGTTGGATTCATCCAACTCTTCCCTTCGCTTCCCGATCCGTATGACAGTACGGTTGTGTTCCCGTTGCTGGTGTTCACATTGGACGCCGTCAGACCGTCCCGTCGCTAAACCACTTTCAAATGTGTACAATAAAATGCAACACCTTCAAATGTACAAAGTATCAAAGTATCAAAGCAATTGGTGATGTCCCTTCACTTACCAACACAAACCGATGAAAAGTGCGCAACTTTCCTTTCTACGCCGTGAACTGTGAACCAGAGAGGGATTTTGTCAAAGGTTGAAGCAAGTTCTCTGCATTCAGCATCTCCTGTTTTCATTTCGATCAATACGCTATTCCATAGTGCCTGGCTTGGCAGGAAAAAGCCAATGTTCTTGCGACACGCATCCCGGGATTCATTGTATAGTAGCTTTTCGAAAGTCTTGGTGTGCACGAGAACTTTCCAATGTCCGCACAATTGTTCAATCTTTTGAATAGTTCGTCCTGTGGAACAAGAAAGGCGAGATGCTTGGGGATTAGTTTTAATGATGTGGGAATTTAAAATATACACCGAAGAAACTAGGTATTGTTGATTTTGTTTTAGCTTCCGTGTGTTCTATAATTTGGAAGACAAAATTACATCATAAGTTGACCACACCATCACCATCAGCTTCGCACTCTTCGGCCGACAACAACCGCTTCCCACAAAATCAAGCAGTTCCTTGCGATTTCTAAAATAGTACTCTTTCTGACACCTGTGTCGATCATTTTATGATTCAGTACTGTGAAACAAGTACCACTTCTCGGCAACTACGAATGGTTCAAATGTTGACCATTTTGAAGTGACTTCTTCAGATTTTACTGGAGTCTCATAGTGATGGGATGGCAGGTTTCATAAGGGTCTACTGTACAAGCTGAAATTTTGGGGGGTGTAATATTTTCAGTATTCTCCAAAATCAGCAGTTCCGTGCAGGGAAATTTTCGTTAACCCTTTGTCCTTTCGCCCATACTTGAAACGTACACCTGTGTACAGTTCAACCCACGCATGTTCAAAGCGACCTGGAAGCTACGCGGATCACCCGATCCACATGAAAATTCACGTGCACACAGCCTATGCTATGTAAAGGATGATACACGGGTACGGGTCGTTGGGGCTAGTTGCCATTTGAATTTCAGGAAATCAAAGTCGAAGTCTGCTTGCGCCGTGACTTCCGACATGGCAGCACACAGGTCGCTTGTTGCAGATGTAGCTCTTGTTTGAGGATAGCTGGAGTGACCCAAGCGACAATTCTATGTCCTCTGATGAAGAGAACGAACTGGACGAAGCCTTAGTTGAAGATGTTGATACTGATTTTGATGACGACGCGGACTATGATGTCGTAACCGTCGACCCAACTGTCGGACATGTCGACCGCTCCGATTTGAGCGCAGGATCGGCAGAACAGCACTCGAGTGGTGAAGAGAGTGTACCACCGCCGTATCTTACCCATCGTGGAGCAGCAGGGTCAGCTAGAATGCTGCAGCACGTGGAGAGGGAGCGTATGCATGTGCAGCTCAAAAAAATACAAGGGTCGCCTGGAGGAAAACTTCGCATCCTGGCTGATGCATTTCGACCAGGTCGCCGCGGTAAACAACTGGAGCCCCGTTCAGCAGACGCAGTTCCTGGGCCTCGCACTGGAAGGCAAGGCTCAGCTGTATTACCAATCGCTCCCAGCGGCCACTAGAAACGGAGGCCGCCAACAGCTAGTCCAGGGGCTGGAAGCTCGGTTTGATCCAGCGCAGCGCGTTGACCTCCATCGCGCAACGTTTCAAGCGCGTCGCCAGGCCAAAGACGAACAACTGGGTACTTTCTGTGAGGTGGTTCGCTCCCTGGCCCGGCAAGCTTACCCCCAGATGGCCGCGGGAGACCTCAACAGCCTGACAAAGGACCAGTTTATCTCCGGGCTTGACTCACAGGGCATACGGGTCCGCGTTCGGGAGCTAAACCTGCAAACGACAGACGGGGCCCTCCAGGCAGCGCTCCATCACCAGGCAATCCAGCTGCCGAACTACCCGCCGCGGAACCTGTGCCGATCCCTGCCTTTGCTGTTTCCCAGCCACTCGACACGGTGACAGACCAACTGAAAGCTGTGTTAGACCGTCTGGCTACGTTGGAGGCCAGTCTGCCAGGACCAATTCGTCAACTACCACAGCCCCCGCAGACGCAAGGCCGCACACCTGTCACTTGCTGGTCATGTGGCCGACAGGGTCAGATCAGCCGAGAATGCCGCGCCCGTCGTCCTGCGCCGACGGGAAACAACCGGCGGCAGTACTAAGTACCTCGGATGTTGACGTAAGCACTGTGTTTATATGCCTTGCTGTCTTGCTCCTTGCCCACCCTGTTACGCTCACGATTTTAACGGTTTTGCTCACTCTGCTGTACCGCCACCGCCTCCCTGATGTACGTGCTTTTCTCCCCGGCCTCTCCCCATTACACTTTTTTTCGTCGAGTTTGTCCCGACGCGACCATGCATGCTTTGTTAGACAGTGGGTCTTCCAAGTCAATTGTGAGCAAGAAGCTGTGGGATTCTCTGAGTAATCTCCCATCCCTGTCCTCTCCACCCCCCCCCCCTCCCCCCTCACGCATTCTTTCTGTGGATGGCTCGCCCGTAGCGATATTAAGCTGAGTTGCACATTTCTGTTTTGCCTACCACTCCGCCTGCCCTGCATGAGTTCTTAGTTGCCTCCATCCATCCAGAGGTCATTCTAGGGGTTGAATTTTTGCATGCCCAAGCGTGTTCGCTTGATTTCGCCGCTTCCAACATGTCCATTGCTGGTCACGTTATTCCCCTGCATTCCCCCACTGTAATCCCGTCACCAAGGTCACCTGTCCATGCCGCTTCGCTCTCCGCTACTCCCGTTTTATGCACGCTTCCTGCTGCTGTGACCGTTCCTGCCATGTCTCATTACATTTGCTCCGCAAAAGTTGCTTCCTGCCATTATTCTGATAGTCCCCTGCTGTTTGATCCTTGTGAGTCTACATGCAGTACTCATCACATTGTCGGCAACGCTACTCTGGCTACCGTCACTGATAACCATCACAGCCCGGGCTCTTTGACGGGTCCAGAGTAGACAGTAACTTTGAGACCTCTTGGGCTGTTGTTTAAGTGTAGTGAGGCCAGGTGTATTGGGTGTGGGGGAATGAATGGAGGGGAGTTCCTCGTGGCACCCTGTGACTGACTCTTGGCTCTGTGAGATGAAGAAAGCGTTCAGGGTGGTTGCTTTTTCAGCGGGGGTTGAGAGAGTCTGGCCCTGGGAGAGCATGTCTGGCAGAATAGGTCGTTGTGAGGACTGGAGGCCGCGCATCAGTTTGTGTAGGTTTGGTGTGGAGTGGCTCGTCCAAGCGCCATTACTGACATATGTAGATTTAGCAATTCGGAGAAGGTGAGTAACTTTGTTGCGTTGTGTGGTGTATGCTGTCCAGTTGCAGGGTGTCTAGGTGCGCAATTAGGCACGGTAGAGCCGGTGTTTTTCTCTGATGGCGTTAGTGAGCTCTGGGTTCAGCCGTGGCTTTGGGGGTGGCTAGTATGCCTCGGGGAGTGAGGTACTGCACAATGTTTGCGGGCGCAAGTGAGCGCTTTGTCTTTCCATGAGTGCCACAGGTTGTCTATGTTGGTAGTGTTCAGGGTGTCACCTTCCGGTAGTAGTTGTGTGCGTTCAATTTCGGCTTTCAGACTGCTGATGCTTTGGTTTGACCATTTCCAATGGGTGGTGTTATGGGTGGGAGGTGGTACGGCTCGAGGGGGTGCTGCGACTGGCTTGATTAAACCCTTTTTGGATAGGTGGTCCGAGTTGCCGATTTGCGGGAGGCTAGAGATAAGGACATAGTCGCTGTCTACATCCATGACGACGAGATCTAGGCAGGATTTAGGGTGCCCATTCTGCACAAGAGTGGGGAATGTGACATGTTGGTGTAGAGAGTAAGTTTGGAACAGCACTGCTAGATCCTCGCCAACAGCATCTGTCGTGTCAGAGTGGCACCAAGTGGCGTTCTTTGCATTGAAATCGCCGAGGATAATCTTTTGCGTTGTTGTTGGTATGGCTCGGATCAGTTCCTCAAGGTGCTGGCAGAATAGACGATGGTCGCAACGGGGTGGTCGGTAGACGCATGTTGCGTTGACGGTGCGGTCGTTGGCTGACAGTTTCAGCGATAATAGGTCAAAGCTGTCTGGGGTTGTTGTAGGGACGAGTTCATGAGGTATAGTGTCGTTCACGTAGAGAATCACTCCTCCGCCTTTGCGGGCTGGGCGGTCTGCACGATGTAGTGTGTATCCACTGAGGGCAAACAGAGAGTCTGGGTCGTGCTGGGTACACCGTGTTTCAGAGACAGCAATGGCATCATAAGGTGGCGTTGTTGACGATACTATTGCTGACAGTTCATCGATTTTGGGGTAGAGACTGCGAGCATTGAAGGAGAGGAAGGAGATGCTATTTTGTCCATTTCCGTTTTTCATAATTTTTTTAACTGGTGGGGCCTGGTGTTGATGCTGGTTCCAGTTCAGGCGTGACTCATGGTGACTCCTGTAGGACTCTGGTCAGCTAGCTTATTTTGTTTTTGTTTTTAGAGGCATGTGGCTGTTGTGCGCCTGGGGGCGTCTGCTCTAGCTGGTGGCGTCTGCGTCTGCGAATTGCCGGTGTAGAGTTTCCATTCTTCCTCCGCTGCATTGAGCTTCTGCAGGAGTTGTTCGGCGCGATTTCCATCTTCCTCAAGTAGGCTCTCGTCGTTGCTGTCGTCTTCCGCTGCCGTGCGAGGTGAGCCTGGCGAGTGGCAGTACATGCTTACACTGGGTGATAGTGCGCGGACTGCTCTCTCGTCGGCTCGATCGATATCTGTACTTCAAATTCAAAGGATCAGTTGGGGAAGTGCCTGGCCCCATAGCTCAGTGGTTAGAGCATTGCTCATGACAAGCAAGTTCCCGGGTTCGAGTCCTGGTGTGTCTGGCGATTTTTTCCTTTTTCAGGCAGTTCACTTCCCCAACTGATCCTTTGAATTTGAAGTTCTCCCAATCCTTTAAAAATTTAATCACTTTCTTTCACTTCTGGTAGGGTCCAGAAACTGACCGTGGTTGGTCCCCCGGGGGAGGGAGAAAGACCCAAGTGCCATCAGTATGTGTGGCACGTGTTGTGAGCTGCCTTTGGAGTGAAAAACTTGTCAGCGCCTTCTAGGTTCAGCCCGGTTCCATAGCTCAGTGGTTAGAGCATTGCTCATGACAAGCAAGGTCCCGGGTTCGAGTCCTGGTGGGCCTGGCGAGTTTTTCTCTTTTCAGGCTGTTCACTTCCCCTACTAATCCTTTGAATTTCAAGTTCTCCCAATCCTTTCAAAATAATAATAATATTATTATATTACAAAAAATAATAATATAATGAGAATGTCTCTTTCCCTCAAACCAGTTAATAGAATGTGTTGTCTTTGCAATTGTTTGGCACTGTTCGTCGTGAAGGTGCAAAATAGATCTCTTGATATT